TTTGGGTTTTACAGAACATTTAAAAAAAAAATCTTCATAGTTCTACATCACTGTTATAATGTTAGAAATAATTTTTCCCTTAAATTTACAACAAAATTTGTACCTTCGATTTATAGAATATGTTGTAAATTTGCGACAGCCCATTCTTGCGTGGCGATGAATTGCAAGTTGATACATAGTGCTTGTACTTTTAATATTGTTTAAAGTTGTATAAGTACAACGCACATCACGGAAAATTTCCCTGTAGCCCTTTGACGAATTTCTCACAGTGGATTTGTGAAAAAAAATAAATGGGTTGTGCGAGGTAGTGTGGGGTGGTCAGCGTTGTTCTCTTTTCTTTTTATCATGGACAAGAGGTTACCCAACCATCTCCAACCACGGCACCTTAGGAACCACAGCGGATAGGCAACCCACCAGCACGGCCTTAAGTACGTCCGCTACTCGCCGTTACGAGCCTGCCAAGTTTAGCCTCGGCGCGGCGAGCTCTTCAAAGCGCCTGGTAGATAGGCAGCATCTGGCCTGCAGAACACGCGTGTGCTGCGGTATGGCCTACCTTAAGTCTCGCAGGCGCCGAGCACCCGTAGTTTCTAAATGACTGTGCGAAAAACGGACATGCTTTCTTAGAAGACCCCAAAAGAAGAAAGCGGCACTACACAACCATTTGTAAAATGGTGGTTAAAAACAGGCACGCTAAGAAGCAAAGGCTCGTTGGAGCAGGGAAGTCGAACAATGCGAAAACAAAACAGAAAGAAAAATTTCTAACCCGACCAAAACAAAATAGAAAGAGACACAGAGACACGGTTCCTCTTGTCTTTTGTTGCTGCTGTTCCGAGCTGTCCTAACCCCACCCCCCGCTGCAGCAGCACAGCCAGCGCAGGCAGCACAGCTTGCACGGGCAGTTGTTGTGCTGCTGCAGGATTGTGGCACGCCGTGCGACAGGGGTATTGGAGCAGAGGAGCGGAGTGGGGGAGACGCCGCCGAGGGTCTGTTTAGTTAGGTAAGTTGACGGGCCACGCGGGGGAGGGGGGGGGGAGACGGCTGCTCAGACCAAGGCGGCGGTGTGCGGAGCGTGGCGGGGCGTGGCGGGGCGTGGCGGGGCGTGGCGGGGCGTTGCGGGAGCGAAGACACAAGGAGATAAAGACATGCAAATGAGGGATCTGATTGATTCGGAAACCCGAGGCGGCCAAGAAGTAGATAGACTTGATCCCGACGAGGTGGGGGCGATGAGGGGGAGGGGGGGCACTTTGAAACACGCCGCGTTACTCTGCGGACGAGAAAGCCGTTACAACAGTTAATTTTAATGTCATGATGCTGATGACCTTATAAATGGGTAAGTATTTCCCTAATTATTTCTATTCTTTCTGCATCGCTATAGAAAGTAATTAGTAAAGTTCTCAACCTTTGATGAAGTTGATTGCGTCTTCTGTTGGTTGGATAGGTTTTCATTCGGCGTTGCAAAATAACTAAGGTTGGAAATTTCTAAAATTTTAGGGAAAATTTCCTTATAATAATGGAAAACTTCTGAACACTGTTTTTCAACGAATGTGACGTCACATTCGTTTCAATGTTAATCGTGTCACGTTCGTTTGAATGTAGTGTCATATTCGTTTAAACGTGAATCGGCCAAGCCTGGGCGCCATTAGAGCATCACCTCACCTGAAGTCACGTTTAAATGAATGTGACACAATATTCAAACGAATGTGACATGTTTCACATTATAACGAATGTGACGTCACATTCCTTGAATAACAGTCAAGTTTGGGGAATTTTCAATTTTTTCGCGGAAATTTCCCTTTTTTCCGGAAATTTTCCTGAAATTGTCCAGGGCTTCCAACCCTAACAATAACTGCAGCAATACGAGAGATTGCCCGTGGCTGTTACTGTGCTCTTCGCTGTGTGGTTTGTTTGATTCCGACGGCGTGTCTCGAAAGGGGGGAGGAGGCGGAGCCAGGCGGTCGCACCGCCAGAAACTTAGCCTATATCGCGCGGCTCATGTTTATCCAATGAGCAGCCGCGCCCCGCCGGCTTACTAAACCCCGACGGGTTAGTTCAAGCAGTGGTGACGCGCCGTGATCTCTTTTATTGTATCGTGAGATTATGAGAGTATTATACATTTTGTTTTTAGTCAGTTTGGCTTATTTCTACAATTAAATGAAACTCATCTGAGCAGATTTTGAGCAGATGCCACACTCAAAACGATATTTAATTTATATATACAAACATACTTCAATGTGTCTAAATGCTTGCATTCTCTTGTTTCGAGTAGGGAGGAATAGGCTAGAAAATTTTAGGTGGCTCTGATGCATTTAAATGTGAAACTTTAAAATTTGAATTTGTCAATCTTGCAAACACTACAAACTTGCTGGTTGAGGATAATTTCCCCCAATTTACCGCATCACGCACATTATTCACAGTGTTTGCAAATAAGCTCATATGACGAGGGTAGCCAGCCCCCACACGCTTGAAAATGTGTCGAGTCACACGCCTCTGATGGTCAAGGGTAGCCCAAGCCCGGGGCCATTCGCCGCGGGTGGCGATGGCGTCGCGGGGCCGACCCGGGCCGACCTGAAGGTCGACAACGCCCTCCCCGCCCCTCTCTCTCCCTAGGGCCACAGCAACCGACCGCTGTCAGGGGCGGATATATCTTATTTATCACGGAGTAGCGGGAAAATTAATGACATTCGAATAATGAAAAGGGTGCCATACCATCACCGGCGTCGCGTACGGCCGACAACAGCATCAACGTCAACAACAACAACAACAACAACAACAACAACAACAACAACAACAACAACAACAACAAGGGCAGGCTCATGCCACGGCATACGGCAGGGCGTACCCCGGCGCCAGCTTGGGTAAGTGGCTCGCGTCAAAGGCTTCAATTTTCGATGTTATTTTGATACAAGGTAAATAAAGCAAACCAAAGTGTACGCCTGGCACCCAAGTCCACTTTGAGAGAAAGACCAATTGAAATAGTTAAACGTATTACTATTCCTTCCGTTCAAAATCGCCGTGCGTAGGTTTATGTAACGCACTATCTGGATGGCGAGCACTTCCTCTATTCCTTGCTTCTCCTTCCCCAAAGACGCAAAGACACACATTTTCTTTGCATGAGAGTCCGCGGCGGGGAAGACAGAGATCAGGAGGGGGCAGGGAGTGGAGAAAAGGAAGAGGGGGTAGGGGGGCGAGCGGGCAGCCCGACGCACACGGTCGCATTCAATATAAACCTCAGATATCCGTTTCCACGAAGCCAATACGGCGTTACACGCCCCGGGACACAAAGGGGAAATCAATGACTCAATCAACTTGTCTGTCGACATTTCTTGTCACTGTGTGTGTGTGTGTGGTGGAGGGGG